GTTGGCTGAACAAGGTGTAAATGAAAATTAATTAAGTTTTCAATGTCACATTTCGTAATGAGTAAATTTTAGATTTAATGTTGGAGAACTTCAAAAATATATATTAATTTAAAAAAAATTAAAACAAAAATTGCTTTACTTTACCGGCCTTTAAAAATTTTAATTTAAATAGGTAATTAAACCAAAAAAATATATATGAGCAGGTTTAAAAAACTGTGCACTGATTACTGCACCAAATCGGTGTGACTATTATATATTTAATTAGTAAACAATGTATTTAAGCGCACCCACTAATTAGCTGCAAGCAAAATGAGAAAAACTTGCTCTTTTATCTAGCAGCTCCAGTCAAATGGAGTCAATCGACGTCATTTCTTTTGCCTAGTTCATTCATTCATTCAGCGTCCGTTTCCAATGGCAACTTCATATGGCTTCGAATAGTTCACATAATCGTGGATCTAAATATTTATGTTCTTCTATTACAATTACTCGATTACCTCTACATGGGACTTTGCACCTCAATTGGACTTTGTGCTGCCGTGCCAATTACCTTGCCCGATTGCCGTTTAAAGAACTTTCCGACCCTCTCTCTGTCACTAATGCTATATATTTTGCGTTGTTTTTCCGTTTTTTAGCCGATGTCAGTGAAATTGAAATTGAAATGAAAACGCCGTCAATATGCACAAATGCACTTTCAAGTTCGAGGTTGTTCATCCAGTTGTTGTTGCGTTTGTTGTTGTTGTTTTTAGTTGATTTAGTCGCTGTTGTCATTGTTGTTTTTCTCTCAGTTTCATTTCCAGTTAGTCGAGCGTGACGTTCAGCCCGTCTTTTGGCTCAATGATTTCCACAAATTGTATTTTGTTTTAACTATACTATTTATTGTTGTGGCATATGTGCTGAAAACTGTAAAAAAAAGTGGGAAACGCGCATCGACTAAAAATTTTAGTCTAAAATACATAAAATTGAAATAGGAAAATTGCATATGTTCCTATATATTATGCATATAATAGCCCGACAAGGAGCTGACGCTTAGTTTGACTTAAAAGTCATTAAAAAAACAAAGTTTATATATATTTAAAACATTTTCCTATCGCTGTATTACAAATATACACAAGATTAAGAAGTCGCTCACAAACTTAAATATCAGACTTTATTTTTCATATATTTAGTTTGAAACTAGTTTATTTTATTCGACGTTTTCTTAACTTCAAATAAAATATATTTACCTCTATAGTATTACAAAATCCTACTTCTCTAGAATCATCTATAAGTTCACTTTAAAAATAAAAATAGAAACAACTTAAAATTTGTAGAATAATAAAACCTTTGATTTATGTCCAGTTAATTAGAAATAGTTTTAAAAATAGACAAATGGGTGGACAGACAGACATACTATAAAGCATAGACTCGTCATATGCTATATGTTATTGTAATATAAAATGATATCATGAGCCATGAATTCAAATACCCGGCAAAGGTATTATATATATAACATCGATGTGAATACGTATATATATTTATATTTACAACTGTTGCATATGCACTGTGTATAATTGCAATTGTTTTTGAATCAAAACAATTAAATAGTTTCACTCAAGCAATTGAATGTAAATTGAAACCTGAACTTTGTAATGAAAAGCGAGAGAATTGAAATTTGTGGCATTTGATAGAGAACGTAAATGGGAATGATAAGCTAATGATCATTAATGGCGAAACGTATGAATATTAACTAATGTTAAACGACAATTAATTGCTTTTATTAGCATAATGACAATTGACATTAGAGCTGATGATGATGATGATTATGATATGAGAGCTTGAAGTGAAAGCATAAACAACATTTTTAACTAGATCGAATTGACTAAATCAGTTTTTGCTCCGTTTATTCACTTGTTTCATCATTTTGGATATGGGGTCCGGGTTCGAGATAGTCGTTGTTGTTGTTGTTGTTGTTGTTATTGTTCTGGTACTCTCTCTAATAACATGTTGGACGCTAATCAAGTGATACGTGTGTCTCATTTCCTGATTGTCTTAATTCAGATTAGTGTATATACATGTCTGTGTGCGTGTGTGTGTGTGTGTGTTTGCATTGCTGTTTAGCGAGATGATCGTGGTGGCCGTCGTCGTCGTCTAAAAAAAAAAAAAAAAACAAGTGAGAATTTAGCAATCGGTACAATTGACTGTATAATCTTTGTTCGCAGTTCAAAAAACTTGAAATTTTTGCATGAGAGTATATAGTATATAGAGCTATTTCTATGGCAGGTCAACAATAATTCGCAATTGAGAAGCTTTTTTTGATCGTAGCGTTGAAGCTTTGAGAGATAAAGTATTTTTTTCTTTTTAGTTAACTTGGCTTTATGCTACGATCTATAGAGAAGTTTATAAGTAATATGAGGCTATCTAATATGTAGAAAGCCTGCTAAAGGTATTTCATTATTTTCTCTTTTAGTTAGATATATTCTTTGATATTTTCTGCTTCTCTCTATAGCACTGAGAGATCTAGTTTAAAATGATCTACTCTACAATACGATCTGAGCATACTTTGTATAACTTTTATATACTTACCTCCATGTGGCACCAATATGCCCTTTTGCATTATGTAAACGTGTAGCGGAAACCTTTGGTTCTTATGGTTCCACTCAGTTGCTGTCTGTTTGCAAATTTAACTTTGATCAGGGTCACGATCGTCGTCGTCGTCGTCGTCGTCGTTCATATGTTTCGTTCAAAGTTCACAGCTCGCACTCAGCTACAATTGTGAGTGCTTATAAAATTATCTATGGAACAAGCTACTTCCCTTTTCCCTCTCTCTCACTCTCACTCTCTCTTTCTGTTTGAATACAATTTTCATGCATTAGCATTAACAATCTGATTATTGCAATTGACTGCAATTGATTATTGTGTTTGGGCTTGTGACACGGATTCATTTGCAATTTAGGCTGTTCAAATATTTAGCTAATTAAATTGTCATTTGCAAATTAATTATTTATACTTATTTTGTTATTTTATTTATATTTGCTTTAAAAAAAATAAAATAAATATGAAACTATGTATGTATGAAACATTTGAAAATTAGTCTTTTTACTCTTTGATTAGTCAAATAAATAATGCTTATATAAAGACAACATATATAACAGATCTTAAAGATATAAGAAACATTTGAAAATTAGTCTTTTTACTATTTGATTAGACAAATCAATAATGCTTATATAAGGACAACATGTATAACAGATCTTAAAGATATAAGATTAAAAATATATTCATAATAAAATACTTATAAACTCCAAAATAATTTATTATCATATTTTAAATATTTTTCCAAATATTATTTTTTGTTTACTTGAAAATATTTACTTGTAAATATTTATATTTTTACTGAAACCGAATTGTAAAATATTTAAGTAGAACTTTGGTTTGCACGTAAATAATCAGTTATTTCTGAAATTCTTTTATTTTATAAACAGAACACGTTTTCAAAAATGTTTCTCTTCTTATGGTTATTATTGTTTTTGTTTTGTTTGTTTGTTTGTTTGTGTCTTTCTTTGATGTGCTCAACAGAGTTCAACGATCGCTTTTGTACACATTGTCTCAGTCAATATGAAAAATTGCGAGAAGTGCTAAGTCTGACATTCCAATCAATTTATGATATTGTGGCAAGAGCTGAAAATATCAAAATTGAAATGTATATACATACTTATATAGAGCTTTTATATAATTTACTTGCTTGCTTTTTCGTCTTAAGTAGAGCATTTGGATTGTCAAAGCTCTTTGGGCAGTTAGATGACATAGAAATTCTTTGAAAATAGCTCTGTGATAATAAAAATTAAGAATTTTTCGGGAAAATGTTGTTTTTTTTTCCTGACTGCCGAACTGTCCCCATTTATTTGACTTAGGCGTGTTTTATGCTAATTAATGTTTGTGTTCTAATTTTATCGTTTCACAACTCTGAACTTTGCTCAGCTACGGAACTATTTTGGGCTGTGTTTCTTTGTGGCAGTCGAATCAATTTATTACCAAATTATACAATGGCAACTACCTGTGGACTATTGACCACGCTGAAAATGGTTAATAACGCGTTCTTTGTTGTCCTAGTCTTATGAGCCTGAATAAAAGCTGTTGGCGTGTTTTCTGTAAAGAGAAAGAAAACATTCCGTCCATTTATCGGACATTGGGCATCGGGCATGACCTATGCCAATATTTTCGGCTAGACAAACTATCAACAAAATGTGAATTTTACACGCATCAAATGATTTGCCTTCTCTTTCTCTCGCTCATTTCTTACGCAATGCGTATTTCGATTGTCTAAATTTAATTTCTTTGCTGTCTATATCTATATATAAATACATATATGTATATATATATATATATATATATATAAACTCATACACTCACGCATTTTACGTATATTTAAATGAGCATATTTGTATCTGTATCTTTTGCTATATAAATGTATCTGTATCTGTATCTGTACTATAGTCTTTCTCTCATTCTTTGCTTCTTTCTTTGCGCCTATTATCACATTTTGGCTAGAGACCAAGTCTCTGCAAGCCAAATTCGTTTCTCTGTTTGAATCATATTCAAATTTTTGTTTAATGAAAGCAAAAAAGAAACAAAATAACACAAATTTTTCTTGTTGTTTATGTTAAAGCATTTCTCGCTTATCTTTGGCATCAATTTTCAAATGTTTTATTACTGAATGGAATTATTTAAATTTTAAGATTTGTTTCTCGCTTGGTGAAGGATTTTTTTTTTACTTAAACATTTGCTTTTACAAACTACAATTTATATGTTTTATTTATCCATTTATCTATCTATATCTGTTGCCTATTCATTGTCCCAACTGATTCATTACATAAATCATTACATTTCTTCTTTCTCTCTCTCTTTCTTTCTCTCTCTCTCATTTGTAGGTAAATGCAATTTCGTCAATTACAACTGCCGAACTGTGACATCATCGACTAAATGTTGCATTTGTTTGTCCCCAACTCTTTGTTTGTTCCTTATAGCTAACTACGTAGAGCATCCGCATACGCATCACGCATCCCGAGCATTGCCATCAAGAACGCAACTGTACCGCTTGGATTGGCCGCACAAGGACATATTCAATTGAGAAACTGACATCAAAAAAATTTGCTCACCCAACCCGCTCATCGCTAACTGCGTTTTAGTTAGTGTGCCTGTGTGCGTGTGTGTGTGAGTGCGAGTGTGTGTGTGTCAGTTGGTGTGGGTAACGGTGTCCGTGTCGGTGTGTGTGTGTGCGTACCTCTCTGTATCGCTCCGTCTCTCAACCGCTTGGCTTGCCACAGTAAAGCTTGGCAACATGTTCATCGAAGATGATGCGCAGTAAGTACCGTTTCATTCAAACTTTATCTACTTATCTATCACTATTTATGCTATCTGTGCTTTGGGCAGGAGTTGTAAAGAAATGTCGATAAATGTATGTGGGATAGGCTTAATATTTAAGTTATGTTTCTATGTGCTTTTTTATTATTTAAATTTTAGTTTATAGAACTGGAGGGCTTCTGCACTTTAAGGGTACTTGAACTTTATTTAAGATTGTGATAAATAATGCTTGATATATATTTTTATTATTGATATATAAATATGTCACAGTCAATGGACTCAGATCGTTTAAATATTTTAGATAAATTATCCTAATAAATTTAATACCATCAATACCATTTGCACAAATCAATTAAAATGATTATAATTTTTTAGCACCGATCACTTTGCTTCTCAAATAATTATATATAATTATAATGTGCAATTGGAGAATTTCAATTTGCAACGTAAAATAAAATATAATAAAAAATAGAAAAAATAAGTATGAATAAATCGAAGTTGAAAATTGTTAATAAAAGAGTGAGACATTTACATATTATATCAACACAATTTGGTAATCGCTGAGTTTTATTCAGAAGTTTAAAGATAAAACTGAAACGATATATGAGTTATTCTTGACAAGCTTTTAATAGCCAGAGAAACTTTTTACAGCAAGTCAGCTTAGAGACTTAATATCATTAATCTCTAATTAAAACTCCAAGTTTTTGTTCCCAACCCGAAGATATAACCAATCATAGAGCTATCATTGATTAGACTCGCATTCAGTATGTTAATGAGTTTAGAGATTTCATCTAATTTTGATTCAATTGTCTACTATCTAAGGTGCTATAAATGATAATTGAATATAAATGATAAACTGGAAATTATTATTATGCAATTCTTTAATTGATTGATGCTCACGCAACGACAAAGAGCAGCTATAATTACTTATATTAATCCATGCGTAAATCTGATCTGTTGCCATCCGACATATGTAGATGCGCCTCTTCTTCTTCTTCCTGTTCTGTCTTGCAATGTCGTAATCGCGTCAAACGCTCAAGTTCAGGGACGTGACGTCGCTACGTTTTGCTTATCAAAACGAACGCTCGTTATCAACAGGTTTCTGAATATAAATACACTGATTGCGCGTACTATAAAATTGCGAGCATTCGATTAATCTCCATTTAGAGGAACTACTATCTGATATCTGATATCTTGGCATGCTTGAATATATATCCATATTGCTGATATCTATAACTTGACTTCTATCAATTATAACCGATTTTTCATAGAATTGTGTATATTAATATTAGTTTAAGTAACTAAAAATATACACTATAATAATCATAGAAAAAATCACGCTACTTGAGACTGTAAACTTAAACCGTATTAATAAGGTACTAGAACCTCAGTGCAAAGGTTGATAATTGAGTTCACATGCAGCTGCTGATTAGCATGTTATTTTCACACACACATACGAATCCATGTCGAAGCCCCGTATCTACACTATATATACTATATATATATAGGCCGCTGATTGCCTACAGGTGCACTAAAGATAGTGGCTTAAACTTAAAAAAAAATATATATATACAACTAACCTTGAGATTGTTGAGACTTCAGCTGTTAGTTAGGCAAACGAATTGGTGATCAAATAAATAAATATGTAGCATTTTGTTCTTTTAGAAATATAAAGCATCATAAACTGTGCAAACTTTCTAAATTTGTTTTGCTATAAAAAATTTATATATAGAATTAATTAAATACAAAATTTAAATATAACAAAATCATTATACCCTGATTCCCATTCATATAATTTAATCAACAAAACAAAATGTTAATAAAAAATATATATATTAAAAAAAAGATTATATATAATTAAAAATAATGTTTAATTAATACTATATAATGACTCAATTATTATTCAATTATTTAATAATAATTTAAACTTAAATTATTATTCGATTATTTCATATTGCTTTTGGCAAGGTTCGACTACTTCAATTCAATTTATTGCGAGTCTTAACTTAATTAAAGCTGAAATCATTTCTCTAGCAATTTAAATAATTTTTTATGCATATAAATATCAATAAGATTGAGAAGCAAAGTGAGTTTGACTCAATGTTCATACAATGCTGAATTCCCTCTAGGCCTACGCCAACAGCCCAGCAGTAAATTACCGTGATAAATTAAAGGCTTCTACCTTTTAGCTGATTCATTTTGGTTCTATTTGTAGCTTAATTTGATTATAGCTTTAAATAGAACAATAAAAATAGCCGAAGAGTGATGTAATCTGTGGCTGCTACAAATAAATTTAATCTGAAATTTTAGAGTAATAATTGGGGTAACATAATTTAATCATAAATCATTTTAGGTTTAAAGGTTTTTAATGGGCCTTAATCTAAAACTGGATTGACAAATGATTATGACTGAGTATTTATTGCAGGCCTAAAGAAACTAAATATAAACCTTAACTAGGACAAGAAACGCTTAACAATTGTGCAAGTGATTTTAGGTGAAGGAAACTCTAAATTAGTCTAAGAGAATAGATTGAAGAAATCCATTTTTGTATTTGATAAGATATTAAAGAGACGAACAGAGAGAGATGTGGGTGGAGGCGGAGTTAGAGAGAACAATAGAGATTGGCAGAGTACTAGAGTTTGAGAGAACGGTCGAGGTAGAGCTACCTATAGAGGTAGAGATAGAGACAGCTATAGAGATAGAGTTAGAGAGAGAACTATTAACAGAGTGAAATGAGAGAGTGAGAAAAGCTTGTCCAGTCAGTGAAGTTAAAAACATTGATCTTAGTCTAGCTGTACTAGTATCGACTAGGTATACTATAATATATATTTTGATAAGAGATAAAGTATTGTAGACGCAGACTGAGAGAGAGAGAGATAAAGAGAGGCTAACGTAAAAAAGTGAGAGTGAGATTAGACTTAGGCGTATCGCTTTAATAAGACTTTTATATAGTTTTGATAATAGACTCAAGAGAGTGAGAGAAGTAGGAGCTACGATCTGATTCCACCTCCACTTAAACCCTACAATGCTCTGCTCTAAGGGCTGTGCTGAGACGCTACGCTCAGGTCAACTTTGTTAACGAGTACGTTGCCTCTTATCAGCGTCTTATCGCTGAAGTAGCAACAACAGCAACAGCAACAATTGAGTGAGCGATTGGCAACCCTTTTTTTTAGTATTGGGGCCGGAGAGATTTGCCAACTGGAATCAGTTAGCTTTCAACTGGCGACGGCAGTAGAGCTAACCAAGTGATTTAGTCTAGCTAGATTCGTAATATAGGCACATATATATGTAAATAAATCTACATATTTGAATCTAGCTCCACATATAGTTGTATATTTATAAATATATATATAACTAATTTGCATTTGGTTCTCTTTTTACTTTGTTGTTCCCCCAGAATGGATAGCTTCTGGGTGCAGAGCGCACTGGGCGCCATCAAGGCGCTGGCGTTCGTCTATGATATAATAACGCTGCCGGTCTATTTGGTAATGCAGGCGCCATGGAAACGTCGACAGGACTCGCGGCGTGTCAAGGTAAGTCGAGTGTGAATATGAATGTGAATATGAATACGAATACGAATACGAATACTTGGACTCTAATCCAGTCCAAAGCTGACAGTCGAAAGGTTTATTTGATACAGTGGCAACAAAACCAGCTTAAGTATTTTTTTTAGTATGTTTTGTTTCAGCTTTAAGTTTCTCCATCGCATGCTACCTCTACCAATTAGTTTTAAGTATTGCGCATATGTCTGTATGTGTGCAGCTTAAATGTAGAAGTCTTTTAGCTCTATTATTTAACAAATTGCACAGCCTCTCTCGGTGCTTCAATTAGTTTATTCGTCATGCAAAACTCATTTTAGCTTTAGATTTTTATATTGCTTTGCTTTAGCTTTAGACCCGAATTGGTTTAGCTAATTGTAGAGTTTGTCAATATATAGTATATATATATAATTAGTTTTAGTTTTTAGTCGCAGTAGTAGGGTTATAGTGAGTAGATTACATTTTGTATATATAATATATTTATATATAGAAAATATTTTTTATATTTATCTTAAAAATACTTTTTAATATTTTTTAAATATTTGTTTAATATTTTCAATAATGACAAAGAAAAAATAAAATAATATATATCAGTTTTGGTAGGAAATTCAAAGAACTAGCTAATAATATAATAATATTAGGTTATTATTTTTTTTTAGCTTATAAACAAGGAAGCCTTTAATATTAAATATTAAATATAGTCGTAGACAAAGTGCTCAATGTATTTGAATATGTTTCTCAGATCTATACTTTAATATTAAAATACTGTTTATAGTTGTTGAAGCTATACAGCTTTCAACTTTTAGTTTATGTTTAGTATATTATAAAAGAATTTCAGCATTTATTTCACTAATCAACATTTGCAAAAGCTAAGATATTGTATTCTGGAATAACTTATCAATGTTGATTAGATTTTGGATGGAGTTTAACTGCTCGAAATGCGATTTCTTTACGACTATTTTGACAGTTATGTTGATAATGTTTGATAGATTGAGGTTACTGCTCTTGATAATGTTTAGATAGACTTTAGTTGACTTGCTTAATAATCTTGCATATACATGTCTTTGCTATACAATCTAATATATAAGTTTTGTTAAGTCCTTAAGAATCATTACTTGGTTAGTCATTTAATTAATTAATTCATGTCGCATGAGAACGAAATTCCTAATAATGTAACATATTATTATATTATATTATGATTGATTGCATGCGAGTTTTCATGTGAACTAGGGACACAGTCACCTCCCCTGATAACTTCGTACGGCTAACTTTAACAGTTATCGACCTTTTGAACGCCGATAAGGCTAAATGGAAGAAAATGGATGCAGATAATAAATTGAATAGGCCTTTCGAAATGCAATCGTATATTTTGCGAATCGTGCGAGGCTATACGTAATAAAAATGCACTGTTGTTGTTATGCCATATAGCTAATTGGTATTTTTAACCCTCCTTCCAACTACTCGCAGGCCACGCTCATAAACAAGAAAACGTTGGTCGATGAGCCCTCTAAATACGCCGCGGATGACATTGAGGTTTTAATATCCTTATGTGTTTTTAATTAGCTGAATGGGTTTTATTTTTCTTCTATTTGATATATAAAATTTTTGGTGTCTACGGTTCGAGTGCCCACATCCAACATAAGTCCACCTTCTCCAACGCACACACACACGTTTAATATATGGGTCGTTGAATGCTATATTATATACTATCTTATGTATATCTATACTAATTTGACTTGCAACTCAAATGGTTCTCAGTTTTGTTGTAATTGGTTACCTCAATACGCAATACCCAATCCAATCCAATCAAATCCAACCCCTTTTTGTCATACACGTGCTTGGTATTCCCATTGCCATTGTTCTTGAAGAAAACTTTTTAAACTAAACTAAACTAAACTAAACTTTTCGCATTGTTTCTTACACTACTCTGTTCGTCCGTTGCAGGCAAAGATTATCAAGAGCGATGAAACCGAGCTGACGTACCGCACCACGGAGCCGCCGCGCGAGGTCCATGTGAAGATGCTGCAGGAGAACATTGATACGCTCGAGAAGGTCTTCAACTATGTGGCCAAGACACACTCGACCAAACGCTGTCTGGGCACTCGTCAGATACTCAGCGAAGAGGACGAAACACAGCCCAACGGACGCGTCTTCAAGAAGTACAACATGGGCGACTACAAGTGGAAGAACTTCATCGAGGCGGAGCGTATGGCGGCGAGCTTCGGACGTGGACTTCGCGAACTGGGCCAGGCGCCACGGGAAAACATTGTCATCTTTGCTGAGACGCGCGCCGAGTGGTTGATAGCTGCCCATGGCTGCTTCAAGCAGGCCATGTCCATCGTTACCGTCTATGCAACGCTGGGCGATGACGGTGTGGCCCACTGTAAGTAGAGGGAAAGAAGTGGCAGTAGATTTGTTAACTAATTTTATTGAATTCACTTTCTAGGCATAAGTGAAACTGAAGTTACAACTGTTATCACCTCGCACGATCTGTTGCCAAAGTTCAAGACCCTGCTGGACAAGTGCCCGAAGGTGAACACCATCATCTATATGGAGGATCAGTTGCATAAGACCGAAACAACCGGCTTCAAGGAAGGCGTTAAAATCCTGCCGTTCGCTCAAGTTGTAAAAATTGGCAACGATAGCAAATTTGGTAAGTCTGAATGGTGAATCAATGAATCAATGAATCAATTAATAAATTAATCTATTGCTTTTTTATTTTTACAGAGAATGTGCCACCAAAGGCCGAGGACACTGCCATCATTATGTACACTTCCGGCTCGACGGGCACGCCGAAGGGTGTCCTGCTGTCGCATAAGAATTGCATTGCCACAATGAAGGGCTTCTGCGACATGGTTACCATTTATCCGGAAGACGTGTTGATTGGCTTCTTGCCGCTGGCGCACGTGTTCGAGCTGGTGGCTGAGAGTGTTTGCCTGATGACGGGCATCTCCATTGGCTATTCGACGCCGCTGACGCTTATCGACACCAGCAGCAAGATTAAGCGGGGCTGCAAGGGCGACGCTTCGGTGTTGAAGCCCACATGCATGACGTCAGTGCCGCTGATACTCGATCGCATCTCCAAGGGCATCAACGACAAGGTCAACTCGGGCTCACCATTCAGGAAGGCGCTCTTCAAATTCCTCTACCAGTACAAAGTCAAATGGGTACAGCGCGGATATCGGACACCGCTAATTGACAAGTATGCGATGCATTGTGAATGACTTTATAAACAATTTTCTAACATTTATACTTTGTTGCTTCGATAGGTTGGTCTTTGAGAAGGTGGCCAAGCTGATGGGCGGCAAGGTGCGCATTATTATGTCCGGCGGTGCGCCGCTTTCGGCCGACACGCACGAGCAGATCAAGACGTGCCTGTGCGTCGATCTAATACAAGGTTACGGACTGACAGAGACCACGTCCGGGGCCACAGTGATGGATGGTAAGTGAATGGGCTATATAAAATTGGAGTTTGTATTGATTTTCTATACAAATGCTTGCAGCCCGAGACATGACCTATGGCCGCACTGGAGGACCGCTGACTGTGTGTGACATTCGGTTGGTCAACTGGGAGGAGGGCAATTACCGTGTTACCAACAAACCCTATCCACAGGGCGAAGTTGTGATTGGTGGCGATTGTGTGTCGCAAGGTTACTATAAACTGCCTGCAAAGACCAATGAGGACTTTTTCGAAGAGGATGGTCGCCGTTGGTTCAAAACCGGCGACATTGGCGAAGTGCACTCAGATGGCGTACTTAAGATTATTGGTGAGTGGCCCTTAGAATTGATTCATAATTGAGATCTTTGCTAATTTTGCTCTATTTGCCTGCAGATCGTAAGAAGGATTTGGTTAAGCTTCAGGCAGGTGAATATGTCTCCCTGGGTAAAGTTGAGTCAGAGCTGAAGACATGTGGCATTATCGAGAACATCTGTGTCTATGGCGATCCAACCAAACAATTTACCGTCGCGCTGGTCGTGCCGAATCAGAAACATCTGGAAGAGTTGGCCGAACGGAATGGACTAAAAAACAAAACGTTCGAGGAGTTGTGCTCATCGCCAATCATGGAGAAGGCCATACTCAAGGAAATCAGCGAACATGCGCGGAAATGTAATTACAAAATGATGTTTGATTTAACTGGATCAATTTAACGAATTTTAAACTCCTTTTTCTCTTATGCAGGCAAATTGCAGAAGTACGAGGTGCCCGCTGCCATTACGCTGTGCAAGGAAGTTTGGTCGCCAGATATGGGCTTAGTGACGGCTGCTTTTAAGCTGAAGCGCAAGGACATCCAGGACAAATATCAGCACGACATTAATCGCATGTACGCTTCATGAAAGTCAATGTATTGAGGATCAGGAGCAGCAGTGAAGCTAATTGTGTACTAAATATTATAACAATTGTTTTAGTATAGCTCAAAAAGGAAACATGCGTTATTCAAAACCAAACTAGCTTAAGTACTAAAAGATCTAAAAACCAAATAGGCACACATCAACAGCTTCGCCTGTAAAGAGAACATTTGTATTAAGAAATTGGTTGATTTTATGTGCTATTATTCTTTGCTTTTCTATATTATAATATAAATAAAAAACTATGTATCGAGTTTTTAGACATATATATATATATATATGTAGCTTGGTTTGGTTACCATTGTTTTGTAACATGCTGTTGATGTTGATGATAATGATAATGCTAATGATAATGATTACGAATGAATGACAATGAAGAATGAAATAAGAGTGGATAAAAAGCGGTTACGATTGATGTACAGTTTTTGGTTTTTAGTACACTGTTGTGACAAGTGGAAAATTGCGTAAAACAAGATTATAAATACATTTTTTTTTATAAAAAAACAAAATGAAAAAAAAACTAAGCTTAAGTGGTTGCCTAATAATTATGTACATATTTACATATACACACAATCGCGTATATATCAAAATCTAATCGTAGATTTGAGTATACACATAGAGCGTACTTCTTTAAATTTAGTTTAATAAATGGCAAATATTGAAGTAATGAATTGTAGCAAATATTAGAACACAAAACAACATTGTCTGAATTAAAATGCAAAATGCGAACACAAATTACACAAGACAACAATGTATTTCTTTTTACTCTCTGCTGGGAACACCAACTACTGAGAACCCTCCATGTGCACAGAAAGAAGGTAACACGAAATGATTGTAAATGTATGTATTTTTTCTAGGTATACTAAGTAGTAAGAGCAACAATTGCAATTGAAATTCATAATCAGCATAAGAAAGACTTAGTGCTAAAGTAAAAATTCAAACTTGAATTAAGTGCAAATAAATTCGATTATATAAATGTTAGTCATTATTTTAGTTAACTAAAAAAAAAAAACAAAAAACAAAAAACAATACAAAAATTACAACGAAACGTTGCGTTTCGAGTACGATAAATTCTAGTTTACGAAGGTAAAGCATATTTCAAATATCGGCATTAATTTCGTGTGCTAAGTATTTATATACTATTATTATGCATCATATTTTAGATGGCATATTTTATTTGCTAGTGTTATTAGAATGAGTTACATGCAAAACAAAACGAAAGTCGTACATTAAGCAAATTACATTATTGTATATTTGGGTGTATAAATTATGAGAATGATTAATAAACATATTTAAATCTATTAATACATATGTATATATTTTTGTATTTCTTCAATTCATCGAATTTGCATACATATATTCTATTCAATTCTAATTTATTCATCATATACAATGTAGATATGTATGTATATTTGTGTCTTATATTAACTCTTTGTTTGTGAAGCCTGTTTGACTCGCGTTGTCGAAAATGTCAGGATGGCCGAGTGGTCTAAGGCGCTGCGTTCAGGTCGCAGTCTACTCTGTAGGCGTGGGTTCGAATCCCACTTCTGACAAGAATATTTTAAAATTCCTTTTATATTTTTGATAGAGAAGTTGCTTTTAAATTCATACTGTACTAATTATTCCTGAGACAATACTTATTATAATATATATAATATATTTATATATATTCTCTTTCTATAAAAACACTAATATATATATATAATTGAAATTTGTTTGCTGTTGATGCATATTTTTCTTGAACAAAAAACATATGGATATGTATCTATAATAATATAGATATTAGGGTTTCTTATTTGATTTCTCTTCTCAAAAAAAGGTATATATTCAATATATTTATTGATCATTTCGAAGATCACATCACATAAGGTAGAGTGCCTTAAGGCTGACTGATGAATTACTTAATAGTGAAGCAAAATATTCTTCTGGCATCATTAATGGAATTCGCGGAGTTTCGATTGGTATATCAAAAATTATTGTAAGTATGAAGGTACATATATTATTTTCCAGCTCTCCAATAATTTCATTTAATCATGAAGTTACTTTAAGACATATGATTTCTAGTATTATGGGGTTTCGAATTTACCTATAAGTAGCGAAGAAGAGACAAATAGACTCAGCTCTGTCAACTCGTTTTAAAAATTTAAAACTATTAAATAAATAATTAATAACTTAGCTCGCTTTATTAAAATAGTAGTACAACTGAGCCTTAGGCATATAACAATTTTACAGGGTCTATTCCAATTATATACATACATACATTCAGGTATATGTATTTATATGTTTAAGAACTTAACTCTACATTTATATTTAATCTCGAATAGTGAATTACATTCACTTTTCCAGTCTATAAATCATTAAACAATTTCAATGCAATGATTTAAGATTCTGTTTAGTCTGTCTCTTCCTCTCCCTCTCTCACTTACACATTATATTTCTCTCTCTCTCTCTCTCTCTCTCTCTCTCTCAAACAGCTCCCATTAATTTAACCTGTGTAAATACATTTGCATGGGGTCTCATTGGCTTTTGAGGCTTGTTCATGTTACGATTCATGTTTGTTCATGTTGCACTGGAATGACACAATTTACACGCTCGACTGCAGTCGCCATGTGCAGTATTTACTGTACAGAGGATTGCCTCGGCCCTTTGCTCTGCTCACCTCTGCCCTCTGCTCTGCTCTCCTCCGCTCTGCAGCGCTGCGCTGCTCTGCATTTTTATGGCATTTAAAATAGTTAATGTTTTGCTTGAGCTTGAGCACCCAGTCGGCCATTTATAATGCCGTCTGGCCGTGGCAGCAGCAGCTGCAGCTGAAAAAAAAAAAAAAAAAAAGAGCGCTGCATACCTTTGGGCTCACCTGAAGTCACCTGAAGTGCGGCTAGTGCCAAGTAGGTCCACTAGCGTCCACTAATGCAACAAATAAATCATGAAAAATGTCTCTCAACTGGGCTACAGAGAAAAAGTCCAGGACGAGTCGAGAGTTTTCCTTAACTTCTTTTTATACCCTGAACCCATTTTCAATGGGAAATCAGGGTATAATGGTTTTGTTGAAATGTATGTAACAGGCAGAAGGAGGCGTGGCAGACCCCACAAAGTATATATATTCTTGATCAGGGCGACGAGCTGAGTTGATTTGGCCCTGTCCGTCTGTCTGTCCGTCTGTCCGTCCGTCCGTCTGTCCGTCTGTCCGTATGTATGAACGCGTCGATTTCAGAAGATATAAGAGCTAGAGACCTCAAATTTTTTTTTAAATGTCCGTAATTACAGCGCGCATATCAAGTTTATCATTAAAAATCGATAACTCATCCCGATCTTTTTTTATCGATAAAAACCCTTATCGAAAACCAGTTATAAAATTATATCTTCTACACCTTTATTGCTAGAGTCTCCAAATTTTTAATGTATGCTTATATGCAATTTATACAATTTCGGTTTTTGTTAAAATGTACCCCCACCTCTAAATTCTCCCCCTCACCCTCACTTTTGTAAAAAGCGTATTTCAAATACTAGAGACTTGTGCTTTGGCAATTACATGCATATTCATGTTATAATCATAATCTAAAAGTTTCATGAAGATCGTACGTCCATAAAAAAAGTTATTAAACAATTAAGTTCTCATAGTAAGCGCACACTGCAGCCCATGCGTGTGTATGTGTGTGTATGTGTTTGTGTATGTGAGTGTGTGTATGCGTTTGTATCTGTATGCGTGTGTGTGTATGTATGTCTGTGTGTGCGTACGTGCGTGTGTGTGTGTGCGTGTTTCTTGTGTAAGCTGAAAGACGCGAAAAATTATTGAAATATCTATTGCTCCAAGGGTTCAGGGGATCTCGTAGTCGAGCAGTCTCGACTAGAGCTTTCTTACTTGTTTTTTCTGCTATTAGCCAAACACAGGTGGAAATGGATAAGCGATGAGACTTACACTGCGTTTAACAGAAGGGAAACGTTGTTGTTGTCTGGCTAGAGAGTTGAAGATGTGAAGTTATATTACGTCGTATACTAAGTCAAGTTACTAATTCATAATTATTGCACTATATATTTCATTTAAAAATATAACAAATGGTATGACTTGGGCTTGCACGATTTAACTCTGTAAGCTCTATGGATTTTTACCAAGCAATAAAAATAACTATAGATGCATAAACTAAGACTAAATTATCAGCTATTTGAGTTTATGAGAAACCGCCTCAAAGGTCCTTTGCACGTCACAAAGCAATTTTCACACAACTTCTTCAACCTGCTTCAAGCTGCCTTAACCTTCTCTTCATATCAGTTAATTAGGCCAGTCGCGGCAGCAGAGTATCTGCAGCTTGGTTAATTAAATTTTGCTTTAACACCTGATATGTGCCAGGATAATTAGCTTAACAGCCGGCTGAGCATATTACGAGACGAGATACGAGCAGCTGGGGATGCTCTAAGCAAAAGCTGCACTAAAAAAAAAAAAAAAAAAAAAGAAACTATTTATCAGGCTAATGCGGCAGTCTGAGACACACACACGCACACATACATATGTACATACGCACTCACATGGACAGCTGGAATACGCCTGACTGCAATGACACTAATAAAATTAATAGACTATAAAAGTCACACACATACACACACACACACACACGCACACGCACCCAATGGCCTGGAGCAGAACATGCACTGAGAGTCTGAGAGTTTGAAATGAAATGTTAAGAATTTCCTGCTCATACGTAACGCTCAATGGATTTTGGATGACAGACACTCACTTGGGGGCTGGTCAGGAGTTGGCTAGCGCAGCTTCATGGCTAAAAACGTCAGCATTTGGGTCGTGCAAAATGGTGGCAATAAATGGGATTGGGTCAACAGACGCATTACGTTTTCTTTTTCTGTTGTTACGGCACTGGGCATGGCTGGATAAGAATTTTATGATGTGTACAAATACGTTCGCATAACTCATCTGAATTGCAAGGCTACTATTTTATTGTATCTGCTCTACTTCTTCTTTTTTTTTGTGACAATAAATGATTCGATGAGCATCGTAAAAAGTGGGGGAAAATCGAGTAGCCGGGCCAGATTGACTAAGGCGGACTACAGACAGCAGAAGACAGAAATATAGGCCTGATGTGGTTGCTTAGGTGGCGGAGGTTGAAGATGGAAAACATTTGGTTTTAGCAGTTTTTGTTTATAATTGAATGTCAACTCATGATTCGAGATTTGAGCTCTATTCATGTGGGAGAGTTTCTATATGGACTACTTCTAGGCAGCCTTGAGAAATATGTCTAAAATATCACATATTATTATTATTATTAACGAGTTAGACTTAATATAAAATTAAAAACTAACTAATGGTTAAGCATTGGGTGAAGGGACCTTCGGCTTGATCTCATGTATTAAGAGATGATTTCTAATAAATTTCTTTGATCTGAACATACTGGGATATTTAATAGCTTATTTATGTTTTCATTTATACAAAATTTAGTTTTTATAAAAATTTAATTTAATTTCAATAATGAAAAAACAAAACGATTTACAATTATTTGTGTTTAATAAAAATCAAATACATAATATATATAAATATTGTTTAGTATATTGCATAATTCCACTAAAAATCGGCGATCATGATGGCTGACACGCTCAGGCGCATTAATCACGTGCCCGGATAGCTCAGTCGGTAGAGCATTGGACTTTTAATCCAAGGGTCCAGGGTTCAAGTCCCTGTTCGGGCGATGTTGTTTATTTTAAATTATTGCATATAAATGCTTTTAAAATTAATTTGATTATAAATTTATACATATGTATATATTTATTATTGAAAACATATTTTTAAAAGGCGTAGAATATTTTACAAAAAATATTGCCTGAGCTGAAACTTTAAAGTAAGCCTAGAATTAGCAGTTAAATTTTATATTAAATTAACGATTTCAGAAATTTAGCTTAATAATTACCAATAATTAATTAAAAAAAAAAAAAAAAAAAAATATATATATATATATATATATATATATATATATATTTTTTTTTTTTTTTTTTTTTTTTTTTAATTAATTATTGGTAATTATTAAGCTAAATTTCTGAAATCGTTAATTTAATATAAAATTTAACTGCTAATTCTAGGCTTACTTTAAAGTTTCAGCTCAGGCAATATTTTTTGTAAAATATTCTACGCCTTTTAAAAATATGTTTTCAATAATAAATATATAAATAAATAAATATATATATATATTTTTTTTTATTTATTTTTTTTTTTTTTTTAATTAATTATTGGTAATTATTAAGCTAAATTTCTGAAATCGTTAATTTAATATAAAATTTAACTGCTAATTCTAGGCTTACTTTAAAGTTTCAGC